CGGATGGCAACTACAGATCGAGACCCAGGGCCCAGACGGCGGGAGGAACTGGATTGATTGTGCGCGAGGGCAGCGGAAACAAATCACGTAGTGTCCGAGATGTCCGGATGAGTGTTGAAGGTCGTTTCCAGCCCCAAGTGTGCGGGTCGGGTGAATATTCCGAAGAGCAGAGTACCTGCTCTTCGAGGTGTTTACCCACCTTGCTCAGATTGTGGCTGCTCGTGAGGGAGCCTGAGCAGCGCGACATTTCTGTAAGCCGAGTGATATCCGGCCAACATAAGCGAGTGTGTGTATCCGGCCAAGCGGGCCTCCTTTTCGCACAAATGTGCATCAGAAAATTGCAGACTTGAGGCGGGTTGCCAGCCCGATTGGTCACACTTAGACGTAAGGTCCCGCATCCCTCTCACGCTCAACTTGACATGGTAGAATACAGGCGGGTCGCTCGGGTTGCCTCTCCCACCCCACCCCCTCCCCATCCTATCCATCTCTCCCGCTTCTCCCGCCCAGTCACCTTCTCTGCAAGATGAAGATGTAAGGCGCTCCGTGCGACAAAAGCATCGACAACGAGGAGCGAAAATGGTGCACCCAACATGGACACTGGCAGCAGTAGATTTGAATAGATCTGGAGGTATGTCTATGTTATTTTGTAGCTCTATGCACGGAGACATACGAGCCATACAGAAACGAGACACGGTACATGTTTTCGCAAGTCATACTCCACACCACACGCGCGTGAGTCAAACATCGTGAGGCGCCTCTCACCACCCATGCCTGGTCATACGGTATGTGCACCACGCCACAACGCACGAACGGTGCGCATTTTCGCTGATGTGGGTCGCATAGGAGAGTCGAGACCACATCCCATTTGTGTGATGTCGCGCGAACGGGAGACGTAGCCACAGAACATCGCACGAACGGTCGCGCGTACCCCGCTACAACATGTATGTTTCCCGCTACCATCACAAACGAGTCGACCGCTCACCCTCCACATCTAAGGGTGGTCGCGCACACCGGTACGTGCCATCTTCACACCTGCGAGATGCTCACTAACTGAGTCCCACAGACAGCCTCGGCTGCCGGCATGTCAACTACGTCGCAATCCCGTGTCCGACGCGGGGAGTAGCTGGGCAGAAGAACCTGAGGGCAAAGTCAGCGCGGGGTCACCGAGCTCGGGCGCAGGCGGTTCCGCAGGGCGCCTGATGGGAGCCAACACGGTACCACTGCCGCTGTGCAGCGGCAGAGGCGAGAGCGAGGTCCGCGTGCGCTCGCGCGGATCGCGGATCTTGCGATGCGTCGACGGTACGTGCGCCGAGACGGCGGCACATGGTACGGGCATGGACTTGGGAGGGCGCGGCAACTTTTGTCGCAGTCCTTGCGGCGGGTGGCTTACGGTGCGCGCTCAAAATCACGCATATAGTCAATTGCAGGGCGAAGCGGGCGGGAGAGGCAACACATCGTGCAGGGAGAGTATTTGTGGTACGTACCTTCTGGCCCACTCACCTTGCGTTGCAGAACGGGCCGGAGACCGTGGGCAGGCCGCATGCGGGGGGCTGCGCGGAGAGGGAGTAGAGGAGGGCGAGGGCAGGGCGCGGGGCATGGAGCGAGGTCGGCGGCTGGGATCGTGAAAGACGGTGCGCACCTTTCGATTTTCGTCTCGACTTGCCAGGACGGGCGAGACGGACCGGGAGGCGTGCGCGGGCCGGGACGGACGAAGGGGAAGGGGGCGCAGAAGAGAAGAGAGCCGGCCGCGAAAGTCGAGAGACGCACCGTCGATATCTGGTCATGTCAATATTGGCGCCTACGCTGGCAGCTCGTGAACGGCCGCGGCCACGGTCCCATCCCCAGGTACGCACATACCTTGTCAGCGTGTCTGAGCGCGGCTGATCACCTCCAGGAGTTGCAGGCAGTCGCAGCACGTCGTACGGACCCACAGTCTTCTTTCGCGTCGGTCGAAGAGGCAGAGTCCGCGCGAACGCATCCGAGCCACCAGCAGAGGGGAGACGACGCAGCGAGTGGACGGGGCGTCGCGTGCAACAGAGGTGCAGGCGAGGCGCGAGGATCGTATGTCATAGACGTAGCAGTAGCACATTGTGGTCGAAAGCACAGAGCGCGTTGCCGCGCCCCGTACGCTGTGCGCTCTTTAGACGCCCGATCGCGCGACCGCGTTTCCCAAGTCCCGCGTGCGAGTCTCTCCTTGCGCGGCCCCCACCGCACTGTGCATATAGCCCTACTCCCCTCCCTTACCAAACCGTTCGCTCCGGTACATTTGACGCTGCACAAATATATTCCAGCGCTTACACAGTACGTGTCTACCGAACGCCCGCCGCGGCCGCATCACCGGGCGCGCTTGAACCTCCTAACGAGCAGCGGCATCTGGCTGCCCTACGACCCCCCATCCCCAACCAGCAACATCCCGCTCCTTACTTCGAGGTCGAGAACGCCCCGGCCTCTTTTTCTTTCTCCTTCCAGGGCGTAGGTGTTGCGATCAACGGCTCGCGCATCTGGGGCAGCTATGCGTACGACGTCGTAAGTCCTGCTCTACGACCTCTGGCGGGCGGAGTGCCGACCCGCGGTTTTTGCAGACCCTCGACGACCAAGCGGCAGTCACCTACAACGCGAGCACGATGTGGTTCATCGGAGACGCGCTCCTGTACTATCAGGACGGGCTGGATCCCACCAAGACCCACACCATCAACGTTCTGCCTACCGTCGGCGCTGGCCTCAAGTTCTGGCTGAACACAGTCACTGTCTTTACCGATAATCCTTCAGAAGTTGGCGGACTTATCAGGTATGCCGCATGCACGAGTCTTGCCAATGAGAGCTGCGTGTCTTAAGTGTTTCCTCTAGTGCGCCCTCCTCGAGCACTCAGCCATTAGGGGGCACAACATCCGACGCCCCTTCCTCCGCGGGACACTCAAAGACGAATACTGGCGCCATCGCGGGTGGCGTCATTGGCGGCCTCGCCTTCGTCGCGCTCGTCGCCGGGCTCCTCTGGTACTTCGCCCGCCGCAGGCGGCAGAACCCGAAAGTGTTCGACCGCGAACAGCCATCCCCGTTCCTCGCCACACCCTCCACCGCCGCCCCCATGGCGGAGGCGAGCCCGTTTGTCCCGACGCAGCGCAGCCCATATACGCCGCCCCGGGGCGACACGAAGCTGCCCATACTGGCGATCGGCTCGGACGGCTATGTACCGTCCCAAACACGCGCCCTGCCCGCGCTCCCCTCTGGTTCCGCGTCATCGTCCGCGCCGTCTGAGTCCGGGCGCACGGTCTCCGATCACTCTCTTGCGCATGGCTCCGCCGCGCAGGCGGCTGCGGTGACCTCGCCGACGACGACGCACGTCTCGTCCCCGGCGGAGTCGAATCCCGATCCCAACGTCGCGGTGGACAGAATCATACACCTCCTCGCGGAGCGCATGGCCACACGTCCGCCGCGGCAGTCGGTGTATGGCACAGACGTGCCCCCTCCGGAGTATGGCGCTTGAGCAGTGACATGAGTATGTACCGGGAGTATCATTATCTTGCTGTTTTTTGTATTGTCAGGGCCGTGCAATGTTATACCATGGTGTTCCTTGGAGGAAGAGTATAGATCGTGCAAGTGGTGGTGGACACGGGCGCTTCCACCACCAACAGCTTGCACGGGTTGGATCCCCAACGCACAGTATCCACTGCTAGTTCGCTTTCCAATCGCGGAATACGAAAGCGCCCTCTTCCCCATCTTCCGTGAATAACTACTGCAACTGACACACGGGGGGCTAAGTTGCAAATAGGTCCACTGTCGTGACAGCTGAACATCCTTGCGCCAATGCCACAGTGCCACCACTTAACGACATCCTGGAGCTCTGTCGCGCCGCAGGCCTCAGAAGCAACCTGGTTCTATACCCGCGGGACACCCCCAGGTTTTTCCTAAAAATCGGCTGCGAGAAAGAAGAAGCCCGTACCTCGCGGACCGGAACTTCCTGTACGACGCTGCGACCGGCGCGCCGTGACGCGTCGAGAATGAGAGTGGCCTGAGGGCTTTGATCTATTGACATGGAGCTACGTTATAGCGGTACCCGTCGGCGTCCTGCCGGGATCTTTCACGTTGCATGCGCTCTGGTTGCATGAAGACAAATGTGTGCGCCAGACAGGCGCAGAGCTCGGCCTATGGTGTTCACTACCTCATGATTCCATAGCCACACCACCGCGTCGGCTATCCGAAAACGTCGGTGCGCTGGATGTATGCGCCGCGTCGCCCACAAGGCGTTCAAGGTCCACGATGCGGCCTGACGCGCAGTGCCTGGGGCTGGTTCGGGAAGGTAGTCGCTCCGGGATATCGCACGTCATGCCTCCAAGGCCCAGCGCTCGTCAATTGCGCGCGAATGAATCTCGAGGGCGTGGCCTGGAGGCTAGAGGAGACGATTGGGACATTGCCGAGCACCGATGGCGCCACATGTATGCGGTGCGTACACGTCGCAGTGAGTAGCTGCGCCGGAATCAAGTGCTGGTGGTAGCGTACTGCAATGCGAAGCTGTGAATAATTCATTCGCAAAATGGCGCACGGAGACGACTTACCCGGGTGGCGTTCCATCCTGACATCCGGCGCCTGCACCGTGCTTGCTATTTTGTTAGCGCGAGATGTGTGCAATTGTAAGTCAACACTGGCGCGCTGAATCGCTGTGAACGACCTGCTCAGTGCTCACGGTGACTGACATAGTGGGCGGCGCCTGCGCGCGGCGGGTGGGGTGGGGAGAATAGTTTTGGGCAGGGGGTTGGCGTGAAACTCACAGGCGGGTATGCTGGAGAGTGCGCAGGGCTCGGGACGCCTTCGTCTGCATTGTTGTTCTCAGCTGAGTGATACACCTGTTACGGGGCCGTGTGGTGCAGAGTCTGCATGACTGTGTGCCCGGAAGGGCACGTGTGTGTTTGCTCGGGCGGTCATAACATACGGCAACGCAATGCCTGAGGCCCGGATGATTTTGAGGATCAGCACAGATGTGATACAGGTGCCCATTATACCAGTGCACGTACCATGAAATCCGTATGAAAATGCTCGTCGACCGCCACGTCAAACATGTGAGCGCCGCGGGGTTGAGTCACAGCCTATTGATTCGAGATCACCGGGTCGGTAGAGCTGCGTAACTCAGTAAGTACCACCGATCTTCTTGGTATTCGGGATCTTAGAGATACGTACGACCTCGTATGTCCGCCCATACCGGGATACTATACGCCGATTTGCGAGTCCGGATGTGCCGACGAAAAGGATGGAGGGCGTTGGTCCGGAAGCAGGACTCCGACTTTCACGGGGTACGGGTATATGTGGCTGTGCAGCGCGCATTGCCGGCGCCGTGTGAGTGAACGCGTACTCGTCCCTCTCATAGGCTCTCTCCTTCTGTCCGGCCCCCCCGCGGGAGCGACGCGACTCGCGACTCGGACTCGGGCTTGGCTGGCTCGATCGATGACGACACGCGTCGTGCGCTTTCCCTCGCCCGTCGCTCGCGTTCTCGCTGGCCCCTGCTCGAAACCGTCTGCCGCGCTGTCTCGTCGTGCGCAGGCCTAGAGGCCTAGCGAGCGACTGAATTCGTTCGAACGGTGCTAGTCCTAGTGAGCGACTGAACGGTGCTAGTCCTAGCGAGCGACTGAACGGTGCTAGTCCTAGCGCACACGCACACGCACGACTCCCCACCGCGACTCCTCCCTCGCCTGTCGCTGCAGCCAGTCGTCTGGCAGTCAAGGCGCTCGTGGACGACGCGCATACACCCGCCCTCACCGGTGCCTTCTGGTGTGCCATGGCCTCGCGCGCAGCGTGCGTCATCGCTTCTATGCATGCACGTTCGTACTCGTTCAACGCTCCCTCCGGCGATCATCCAATCTCGGCTGCAGGCGCATACAAGCGAGCTCGACACTCACAACGTCGCTTTCCAGTATGCTACCCAGCCAAATCGTACCGTCGCCGCTTACATTACGCTCCAACGCTTACTGGGGCGACGCACAGTCGCATACAGACGTCCGCAACGTGCAGATGGCTCACGAGGGCTGTCAGCGACCGTACTGGGCCCCAGGTGAGTCTCCGCATCATTCGAACGAAACGATGTGGTATTGACACACAGTACGCTAGCTCTACACCACATAACAGTGAACACGAGTCAGAACCCGCGACCACCACTGTACCTTGACCAGCATACCCACGCTATCGACCATGCCCTCCTCCCGCGTGAACCCCATCAGCTCCGTGCCCGCAGCACCCTCGCCCTGTATACATAAAGGTAAGCAAACGTCTATGCACGTCGAGGCGGACGCGGTACTCACCGAGTCAGCCCAACGGGTGCACCAGCAGGGCTAGCCCGTCTACGACGCACAGCGAAGACGAGACGGTGCCAGAAAATGAGCAGAACCACCCCGGAAGCGACATCTACGACGCACGACCACAGGGCAAGTCCTTCCAGAGCGAGAGAGCAGGGCGAACGGGAGGAGGGGAGATGGCTGCCCCCTCGCCCTGTCCGCACCGCTCTTATACGCCCCCGCTTCCGGGCAGGTCACCCCCGCCGCTCGCCCACCCACCCTCGCACGCACGGACGCGGCGCATCGCGGACACCCCAAACCCGGCTGCGGTGCGCGGACGCGCGGATTTGCCGACGCCGTGCGGGTCTCCCAGGCTACCGCGCTAAGCACGCCCCTGGACGCCGGCCGCCAGATCGGTGAGTGTCGCGTTTCGGTCGTGTGCAACCCGTGCGTATTACGCGCGTTGCGGCGTGGTCGCACAGTCTGGTGCGCCAGCAGTGAGTCAGCGAGGCGGACAGCGCGCCCCGGGCTGGAGACGGCGTACCTGTCGAGTGCGGGACACGCCCGCCCGCGCCCGATACGACGATGGGGACCGTCGTCGTTCGCGGCACCGTACGTGCGTGCATCCCGACGCACGCACGCACGCTCGCTCGCCGTGCACGTCGTGAGGCGCATCCTGGGGAACGCTGTGCGAGCACGTCGCCCCTTGACAGCGTCACGGTCCACTGAAGGAGACGGACAGCTGCGGCGTGAAGTGGCTCGTCTGCGCCGCCCCAGACGTTCTGCGCGTTTGCGCCGTGTCCCATCGTGTACCGTAATAGACCGCCGTGCCGACGTCCCGCGCCGGCAGGATACATCCTTCGTGATCTCACTCGACGCCCCAGGTCTGTGCGACGACGAGTACCGTGCACCTTGCATCCCTAGCGATCCATGCACCATGCACCATGCACCGGGGCGGTGTGCGCCCTGCTGCACGCCCGCAGAGAGCTCAAAAGAGGTGTGCGCGCCCCGCCGCATTGCATTCCGCCATCGCTATGTTGGACGGGGCGGGCACGCGATCATGGCGATGGCGAGGGCAGCCAGCGGTCTTGCGAGTGCCCACTCAAGCTCGCGCTGTGCGTCTCGCTGATAGCAGCTCGCAGGTCTGCAGTGTACATACGGTGCTCTCGTGTACAATATAGCGCGATGGGACGTCCAAAGGACGACAGGCACAAGCAAGAGCTTGCACGCCGACACTGCGGCGTGTAGACCACCCAGGTTCGTCCCGCACACCATGCAAGTCGCCTGGGGTACATACACTTCGAGTCCTTACGCTGATGCGTGTGCACACACCACAAGGCTCCGCACACACATAGTACGGCGGTACGTCGTCATTCTTGCCTTCCCACCCCGTTCAAGCACACACACAGGCGTCGAAATCCAGCTCTTTCGCAGCGGAACGTCTGCAAACACGCTCCAGCTCCCAAGATGGCGCGAGACGCGTGCCGAACCACTACATCCCGCAGCGGCGCGCCCTGCGTCTGCGTCGGTGCTCTCCGCCGTCCGGATCTCTGCGCACGCGAGCCACACTGACTGTGTCGCGTTTCCAGACGTCCCACGCGCAATAACGCACACCATCCCCGCCACGACACCCGCCCCCGCGTCCCAGCCCCCGTGTACGACATCCTCAGGGCCACCCATCCGCGTCGCGCGGACGCCAGCAACGCACGACCCCGCCGGCTGCTCGGCCAGGCCCACATCCATGCCACGCATCTCGCGCCACACCGGCGGCCTCGCGGGCCTCCCAATTGCGACACCGCGCTCCCATGCACCCGGGCGCATGCGCGTGCGGCGTCGCGTCGCGATCCGGCGAGGTCGAAATCGCGTTGTTTCGGCCGATTTCATGGGCGAAACCCGTCGGGAGGCGGAATATCGCGCGTCCCGCGGCGCTCGCGGCTCCTGGCGCCGCGTAACTTGGCAGGGACAATCTATGGAATCACCCGTACCACGCCCCGTCGTTTCTGAACGCGTGGGGAGGGTTTGAAAATTGGACGAACGGCGGGAGGCCGGAAATCATCGCGCGGTGGACCTGTGGATCCGAGGCAGAAGCGGTGCGCGGCGGCGATGGCGGCCTACATGCACTGGGTACGACGCAGACATACTCAGGCGTGCTACGAGCTTCACGAGAGCGGTATGGTGCGTACCGTGTAGCCGTTGTTTTCCTTCTTTTCATCGGAGGCTCATGTCCGATACACAGACCCGTGTCCTATGCGCACGGTACTCGCTGTGGCGAGGCATGCACGGCTTCTGCCACGGGCTCATGCAGTCTGCGACGAGATCGTGCAGTCTCCTGCGCGCACGGGGAGCCCTGGACCGTGGCAGCAGTCTGGATCGACCTCGCCTTCGGGGACGAGTGGTGCCGCCCTTCGGTCCGCCATACGAGACTCTGACGAAGCCGCATCGCGATGAGCATTCCCGCAAATGGCAGGCAAGCTCAGCAGTATACGCAACTCCGTGTCGCCGCCCTGCGATGCGCTCCCGGGGCCGGCACAGATACGAGGCACCGTCTTCGCCCTTTGGGATCTCGGATCTGACATGTGGGTTCGTCTAGAGCGCACCGGCACGCGGGGCTTCGCAGTCATCCACGATGCGTCGCTGGGGTACATGTGTGGGCAGCCTGTTCCGCGTCTGGTACGCGTCGGAACGCTCGCTTCTTGCTCGTCGACAGGTCCCAACACGGGCCCTCGCCACCGCTTTCGGGAGGCAAGTTGTTGCGGCTGTCGCAATTCGGTGCGGTGTGTGAGCAGGGCTACAGAAATATCCCTCCTCTGACGAATCCCAAGCGGAATTCCCGCACCATGACACCCCTGAACGGCTAGATACAAAGTACCTGTAGTACATATCGCCGTCGTCGTCCGTTACAATATATTCATGTAAAACACAACGGCACTCGGAGGCCTTTTGGAATCGAATCACGGCGTTCCGAGGACACCCAAGCGCGAGGCGAGCGTCGTTGCGCAGCTCCGCACGACATGCGACTTCCGTGTGAGAGTGTACTGACGATTTACCACTCAACACCGGCGCAGAAAAATCGACGCGAACTCCTCTCGCATACGACTCCAAGGCGGGGGCGAGTGGCCACAATGTGTATTGGGAACGTACACGTATTGAGTACACTAGATTCGACGCTCGACGACTCGCAGTACACCCGGCCGCTCGGCACCATGTCCCAATACATCGCGGGTGTGAGGGTGGATACACCGAGGGGGGCAAGACGGGAGGGACCGCATCGCAGGAGCGTACCTCGTCGAGACTCGGACCACACCCGGGCCGAAACAGAAGCCTTCACAACGACTTTGGGTTTGAAAGTGCTGTAGTGTCAGCAGAAGCAAACGGGGGCATCCCACGCATGGCCGGAAAGACCACGGCGAGCTCGCTTTGCTGTGCCGACAAACATCGCTCAGGAGATGATTTCGAACGGGGTCGGCTCGCCTGCGGGTCGTCCGAGGGACGTGCGCATGTTTCCTGTCTCTGGGGCACCGTATGTGCGCTCGTTTCGCCTGGCTAGCGATATTGGGGCCAAGGGCTTACGACGCGGAGACGGGCTGATGGACAGGGTAATCAGGGCCTGGACGCATCAAAAGACAAGGGATACCAGCGTACCGGGAGGGAGTACCGACCCGCGATTGCCTTCCCGCTTGCCGGAGCAGAAGACTGTTTTGCCGTGGCTCCGTGCGAATAGGCAGTGCGTTTGTGGCACGGTGACCTGCCGCAGGGTTGCTACTGTGTGTCGAGTGTTAGAATTGCGCTGCATGATGCGCGGCATCTCGCCGTTCCGCGGGGCTAACATGCACGCCGTCAATATCCTGAACAGCCCCGCGGTATGCAGGCGGAGGCCTTCTACGATCAAGTAGGGTGCCCACCTCATTGGTAGCGCACCGCTTTGCACCCAGAAGCCGTCTCTCGATGTTCCTGCTTGCATATCTGGGCAATGGCCGTACATGCGAGCGATCTCGTAAGCTCGGCATTCTTCCGTCGCGGCCATTCAGACGCGATTGTCCGTACACGGACCAAGTACCTGCGTGGCGTAGCCGAAGACAACGTCGCTTCACAAGTAGACATGAGCAGGGATGGCTGGCGGCGGGAACCGTTGCGTGCATCGCTAGAAGGCATGTCGTAAGTGTACATTCAACACAGAGATCAGAATGACGCACAAGTCATGCACTGCACGGAGCGAAAACATCGCGGCAAGCATGTTCTTTGAATTTCAAGATCGGCCTGATTGAGCTGAGCCGATCCAATACGGTGTGCAGGTAAACAAGACGTACACAATGATGAAAGCGCATCAAATCTCGATAGATGCCCCGGCTTCGTGCCACCCTCTTCCTGCTGTCCCGTGGGCCGTGTCTTCAGTAAGATCGAGAGGTTCGCAAGTTGCTTCCAGCTTCGCTGCCTTGTGTCCAAAAACAGGCGGAGAGCGGTGTTCTCGATCCGCCAGATACGAAACAAATGGGGCTTGGCGATATGGAGTTCTGGCGTGGACCCGCAGACTCGGTCTCCTCATTCGGAGTCGTCGCGTCGGGGGGTTGCTATACTACCGCGTCAGAACGTCTCACAAGCCCATGCGAGGCCACTTACGACGTCCGCATGCGGACACTCACGCTGGGAGCCGCTTTGAGCCGTGACCCTGCACGATTGGCTCGTTAGCTACCTAACCGCAGGATAGGCGAGCGACATACTCAGTGTGGCTGTGGCAGACACGGAACTTCTCGGCACTAGTTTTATGTGTTCCCTGGATACGTTGACGGCACGGGGCCTCGAGCATAACCGAAGCGGCCTCCTTACGAAGCCCACATGACGGCATGTACTCCTACGGGTTGGGACTTTTGCATCAGCATCAGACCAAGGTGTAATGCCAGAGAATAGACGTACGTGTTGCGGGTGGTACAAGGTCGCAGAACATGCTAAAGGAGGTACAGAGCCGCGGGACACTGGTGAGAGGCGGCGACCAAGTCGAAAACCCTAACTTGCAAAACGGTATGTGGACGGCACTCGTAGCTTCGTAGACTACGCGAATCTACCAAGCCAGTGCCCGACCACAACACAGACTGCGAGCTCGGAGTCGTCGCCGGTGGCTCTCAGAGTGCGGATCGCCGCCCCAATAGCAAGAGCGCTCGGTACAACTTGATGGTTTGGCCGATGTGGCGACCCGCCGTGCTCCCTGGAGTGTGCGGCGTCCGAGGGAAGCGGGCCCCGCATATCACACGCATCTAGATGCAGCCGGTTAGGCAGGCTCATGGGCGGCGTGAACGCGAAACTCTGCAGGATACATGTCGGGCGGCAGACACTTGGTACATGGACTGTTTTCGCCATCGGAAACGTGCATCAGGGCGTATGAACTATCTGAGTGGATTGTGCCATGGTGAGGGGCCTTGGATGCGCCGTAACGACCGTGTGCCGAAGCTTGTCAATGAAGCAGACATACCACGTACTCCACAGTCTGTGCCGCATGTGTGAGTAGACTCCGATGTAACGCGGCTCTGTCCGGCGTCCACGGCAGAGGTAATCGCCGATGGCACAGTGAAGAAGGTCCCAGAACTTGAAACAGGGCGCGAGAGTGTCGCGGCGCGACGACGGTGTGACGGGCGGACATCAATGTGTTGCGCCGCGGATATGGTCTGCGTTGTCTACCAGCCACATCGCGTGGCGCGCATCGATGTGGCCGCGAATATCGCCCAGGGCGCGCACTGCTGTCGGGAAAGGAAAGCCGGTCAGCGGGGTTCGGACGGATCGAAAAGAGCGCCCACTTTCGTCTGCAGCAGCCCTGCCGCTCTCGTAACGGCTCCGCTGGCTGCGTAGGACCATGGGCGTGTTCGGGGGCCTGTAAATGCGGTCATCCACTTGATGAAGCGCAGACGCGCTCGTTGTCGTTCAGACTTGCTCACCATCTTATGCTCCTGTTTCTTCTTTCGTTCCCTACCCTCCTACGTGCGCCGACTCGTTTCATGGTGGCCCCCTCTTCCTGTTCCCTGCTTGCGCGCGCGTGCCTTTCTGTGTACGCCAAATCTCCGGTACTGAGTAGGTGAGTAGTATCGCTACTCGTCAGGTTGGCCTTCACTCACATTCGCTCCTCCGGCCCCGCACGCGGCGTGCCCTTGCAGACGTCTTGCATATTCCCGTGCCCTCTTTCCCCTCGCAATCGCTCGAAACCGGCCACTGCCTTCGAACTGCGACTCCCTCTCGTAAGCAAGCTGTCATAGTCGCGAATGATGCACTGCTCACCTCCGTTCTTCTAGCAAAGCGGTATGACCCGCCGCCCGAAGCCCGCTTTCCGGAAACTTGGGGATACCGCCAGCGGTGCGTATGCGCGCAAGGAGATGCAGCTGCGCAGCGAGGTGCGTCAAGGGCTGAAGCAGAAACTAGGTAAGCACATCGTCCGTTCTCGAGGCACGCGGTGCTCGTGCTTACCAACATACCAGTGGTGCGCGTCGGCCATCTGGATCCCGGAGTGTCGATGCGCTGGACAGTCAGTGGACTCTGCAAAGACATATACCTCCGCCACCGCCTCAAACTCGTCGGGTGGCCGGAGGGCATCGTCTTCGGCGACCTGAGCAAGGTGACCGGGCTGGCGCGGATCTGGATGCTCGTCCGGGCGCTGCGGAGCGGGGAGCTCACGTTCGAGCCGATTACGCAGGAGGAGTACGATGCCGCGAAGCGGAACCCTCTGCTCGCGGCGCCGACTCCCCTGCACAACGGCCTGAGGCTGAACCTCGGCCGAGACGACATCGGGAGGCGGCGGGGCAGCAGCAAGGTCGACCCAGCGATCTACCCGCCTCGACACGTGCGAGATGGGCCGAAGTCGTCGAAGGTGGTGTCGGACGAGGCGGAGGCGATGGCGGAGGGACCAGAGGAGCCGCACGAGCTGTTCAAGGGTGGGCAGCTGTATGCGGGCCCGCATCCTGGCCGGCTCCCGATGTTGTACTGACGGCCGCGCGGGTGTTCACGCAGACTGCATGCGTAGTACAGTACATTAGACAGGTCTAATTCGATGTTCCGGGATGTAAAAGAGACAGCGTTGTTGAGCGGTACGCCGTGGTTGCGCCGTCGCAGAAGGTGGTGGAGGCGAATGAAGACGCGCGTTCCTAATCGGGACATAATCCACGCGGCGATGCACTGACATCCGGCGCCTGTTCACTCTCTTTCTCCCGCACGTCGTGCACTGTCCGTTCGAGCCTCTCCGGTGGTTTCCGGCGATTATTTCGTGTCATCAGTGTGGTAAAAATATGTTGTGTGCCTGCACAGGGCGACGAAGGGCGCAGAACTGTGCGGCAATACCGATGGCAACTACAGATCGAGACCCAGGGCCCAGACGGCGGGAGGAACTGGATTGATTGTGCGCGAGGGCAGCGGAAACAAATCACGTAGTGTCCGAGATGTCCGGATGAGTGTTGAAGGTCGTTTCCAGCCCCAAGTGTGCGGGTCGGGTGAATATTCCGAAGAGCAGAGTACCTGCTCTTCGAGGTGTTTACCCACCTTGCTCAGATTGTGGCTGCTCGTGAGGGAGCCTGAGCAGCGCGGCATTTCTGTAAGCCGAGTGATATCCAGCCAACATAAGCGAGTGTGTGTATCTGGCCAAGTATGCCTCCTTTCGGCACAAATGCGCATCAGAAAATTGCAGACTTGAGGCGGGTTGCCAGCCCGATTGGTCACACTTAGACGTAAGGTCCCGCATCCCTCTCACGCTCAACTTGACATGGTAGATACAGGTGGGTCGCTTAGGAAGTCTCTCCTGCCCCCCTCCCCTCTC